TCACCTACTGGGTAACTTCATAAATCTTTACTGATTTATTAAACAATAATCTTTACTGGGTTATGGTTTTGACACAGAGCTGTTGCTTTTGTTGTATCCATCCTAGAAAACAGAAATGGCTGTAAGGCAGAGTAAGGAGATGCTTGGACATCTAAATTGTTGAATTTAGTGGAAAAGGACTGAGTTTAAAAAACTTAATTTCTGTGTAAGCCTGGGATGGATTCTTCAGCATTCAGTATTATGTGCTGTAACATTGTTGTAACCTGTAATATTTACCGTTGGTTAAGACAGAATATTCGACAAAACTATTCATCAATCTCTCCCTCCTCCATGTCTCCCTCTGGTTAATATGGAGATGAATCTTCAAAGACCTTTTGTAATAAGGATACTAAGTAATGCAGAGGGATAAGACACGTTTGCCAACTGCTAGGAAAATGCACCTTAAAATCAAGTTTCCGAGTGTGATGCCACCTGCTCCCGCTCCCCCTCCCCCCAGTTACACAAAGATGGCCCCAAGCATAAGGCAATTCTGCTACTTCGCATCTATTTAAATTTCTTTTCATACGTTCAATGACTTAGTCCCATAGCAGATCTGGGCATGGGTTGACTCCATGGAGTTCTCCCTACTCCGCTGCGTCTCTCTCTTAAAAGCCTGGTCATGCTTTTGATACATTCCCTGGTTTGTTAACTGGGACATTCAGCACAACCCGCATGTTATCCCTGCTATTTTCAGGACACGCCCCACCACCACGACCATTTTGTGAAAAACAGTGAAGGCGAAGACTCCACCTGGACGGCCAGCAATGGAGAACAACGGACCCGTGTTTCAGCTTCAAGATGAGTTACACTTAAAACCAAGCAAATTCCTCCCTTCCCCTTGGGTATTTCCTTTATGCAGATAGAAAAATCAGCTATGGCTACTGATACGGGAAAATTTGCAATTACTTTGCTAATACTGAACATGAACTCTTTCAAGGATACAGTGTGGAATGCGCTACTAGCTCAGTTATCTTCCACAACACAAAACCAGGGTCAAGCTACACATTAATCGTAGGAGCATACGGTAGAGATGTGGCCAGATTTAATTTGCTTGTCACTGATCTTCCCATGGCAGTTGCTAAGAAGAGATACAGCAGAATGCATGGACATGCACATACCACCCCCCCCTTTATTTTTTCTTCGAAAGGTTAAGACTACATGAAAAGCGATCAACTTTCTAACTGTCTAAAATCTTAACTGAGATTACAGCTACGGGAAACATATTTCCAAGGTAAGAATTAATTATTTATGTAATGTACAGGTCTGGGAAAGAGGCTGTAAAAGCCTTTAACTCTGAGGCTGCATCATAAGGAGTCAAAGAGCTTCTGCACTTGCTTCAGTCCAGCTTTCACAGGATTGGAGCAGAAGACTGCTAAAAATCACATAAGGGGAAGAAAGTAAAAATTACGGTAGGTGCACTAACTGTGTGTATCAGCAAGTGAAAAAAACCCCATGGTAACCACTTAAATGTTGGAACTGGCTTTGTATTTTTTGTGTAGCATTAGAAAAAAATACACTCTCCTCTAACTTAAGCTTCTGCACTCATCTTTACGGTACGCACACAAGGCACAATCATTCAGGAGCAGCTACTTCTGCCCTGCTTGTCTATGATATATTTCCTGTCGTGCAGATATTTTAATTCATATGCGACTATTTGACATAATGTGCAGCAGCAGTCTCCTTGGAAAGAGTAATGGGTATCTCTTCGCTCATTAGAAGTAGTGAAGGAACTAGTCTGAGAGACAAACTTATTAAGAAAATAAATATGCTTTACATAAAGAAAGCAGACTTTTTGTGGTGTCTGCTTTAGCTCATACTCTATCAATTTAGGTAAAAAAACAGATGACTCCTACTCAAGTCAGTCGAGAAATGTACTTTTCTTGTAGTTTTCACAAATCCTCTTCTACCAAGTATTTTAAAGCCTGAAATTGAGTTCTAACTGCCTTCATTAAAGATGTTGAGAACTAACTGCAGCGGAAGAGAATGGGACCAGAACCGTTTGCATCTAATATTTCAATCTAGATTTGCAAAAAACAACGTGAGCTTTAGCAGCATTTCCAAGTATTTGTTTCAGTAATAGCACTCTGAAATAATTTTCTTAGAGAAAAGAATAAAAATGGAACAAACACTGAAGTTAGTCTGTGCATTAACTTCTCCTAACGGCTCTAGTATCCAGTTCTTGAAGTATACACTCCAGTTCAATGCTGCTCAGGCTGTAATGTCTCATCTTCTATGCTGCCCTTTCAAAATCAACTGAGTAACCTTGCTAATGAAGTTTCTGAAGTAGGTCGCGATATTTTCACTTAGAGGCTAGTGGCTCAGCATCTTTCTTGACCCAACTCAAATAAAAAGAAAACCAATGCTAAAACATATGGAAGAAGTCAGTTTTGGTGACGAGATTAAAAATGTCCCTCTGATTTTAAATCGTTGCATGCTGTGGGTTGCATGACAGTGGCCAGGATTGTCTCAACTAGGTTACCATTTCCATGCAATAATCTTACCACTCTGAGACATTGAACGACCTAGTGTACTTTTATTAAGTAAATGGAAGCAAAGGTTAATGAACATTTATTGGATCAACTTAACACCTTGAAATCACAGGCATCAGTCAGACTGAGAGGCAGCATACTGATAAGATCAAGTTTTCTTTACAAATCTATGAGCCCCCGTACAAAAATAAAGTATAAAAGGGGCAAACAGAAACATTTGTTTCTTCCCAATCCCAGGGCTGCTTCTGAGGTCACATTCAGCATAAATTTAGAGAAGTCCAAGAGCCGCTCTAAATTATGCAGTGATATTTACAGTACTAGGAGGACCCTTCTCCAGTTGGAGATTGAAAAAAAGTAAAAGAATCATAGCATTAGCTCTGCACCTGCACGAGTCTTCCCTATGCAAGCGAAGCTTCCAGCTGAATTTATGGCAGCCTTCTGCCCTCTACGTACCAGACAAATAACAGAGACGCATCAGAAGGGTTTGGGCAGGGCAGGAGGCAGGGGAGGCATGGATCGGGCAGACTGAGGAGTCCTGGGCTTGCTCTTCACTTCCTGGGACTGTGCTGAAAGCGGTTCACAGAGCTCACTGGGCTGCGTGGTTCAGCTGCACTTAAAGCCTAGGGGGGTTCCAAGTTAATCTTTTGCTAGCGAAGGTTCCTACAAGGAAAACAATCTGTGGTAAAGAGGAGGCAGGACACTATGCTAACTGATGTGCTTTACGGTTTTTGTCTCTTGATAAAAGGCTATACAGTGAGAATAAAAGAAACAAAGCTCTCCAAGTTAGTCTTTACTGTGTAATATTAACTGAATGGTGGCTCCACTTAAGAAAAGCGTATTAGTTACATTAAATTGCTACTTATTGTCATCTACACAAGGCAGAAGCACCCTCATGGGCCTTAGGAGTTTTCTTTCCTTACAGGCTGGATACTCAGAAACTCCAAGAAATTCACATTAACAGAGTCAAAAGCATGTAGTCAAAACATTTATGGTGGACTATACCCAAATTATCAAAATTGCTTTACCTGTTTAATGTCATAAATATTTGAGATGAAGAAGGTGTCACTGAAGTCAGATACCAATGCTTACCAGAGAAGTAGTTTGTATTTCTAACATCAGAAACACTCCACTGCTTGATTTTCAATCGGTCTTCCCATCTTTGTGCTTTACTGGGAAAAGAGGTAGTTTTGAGAGTGAACGAACCCGTCACTTCGATGAGCTCAGCTCGTGTGTAACACTGCCATTGCAACAGCTGATCTACAGGAACACCTGCTAAGGTTCATCCAGGACTAAACTGACACGGCAGGACTACTTGAAAAATTACCTCTTACTCACTAAATACTTCACAGTTTGCACCTATCCCCTTTTACAGGGGCTAAATTCAGAACAGATGAGCAGCTCCTATTACTCCCATAGGCTCCCTCTCACTCGCCGGCTTGCTTATGTGAGGCCCACACAGATAGTTTCTCATCGGTTAGTTTCCAGCACTCCACAAACTACAAACTCAAGGGACTCGGTTACAGTACTTGTTTCGGGACGCAGTCACAAGAACTGCGATTCCAGCTGTAGCTAAGGGGGTT